GCCACTGCATCTCAGAGCCAGTGCCTGCAGGAGTCTCCCCCTTGAGCATCTGCGATTCAGGGGACGCACTATTAAGATGCTAGGTGTGGCCTGGGTCAGACCCCAGGAAGAACACTCAGGAAGGCTTCCAGTCAGCAAGGAAGGTACTCCCTGGGAACTCTGACAGTGCTCGAGCTGCAAAGCAGCTCACCCGTTCCTTAGGACAGTGGAATGGCTCATGGTTCTGGTGGTCTCGCCGACACAGGGAGAGGAACAGGAGGCAACCTCCTCTTCTATTTACCCCCTCATCTCCCCTTCCTACTAGTCTCCGCACCCTTGAGGTTCAGGCACTTTGGGCCAACATTCAGCCTAAGTGTATTAAGGCACTGCTCAGGACCGCACACTGGGTCAGTGCTTGGTGTAGGCATAACACTCGCACGTGCACATGCATACAAATGCACACACATTCACGCACAGCGATTATATTAACATATGCAAACAGATGCAATCCCATAACACGGGTACATTAACATGCACGTATGTACATGTGCCCACACATACACAGCTACATACATTGACATATGAACACACACATGCATGCAAGTGCACACTCAATGATATAACATGTAGTCACTCATACACATACATAAATATGTGTATAAGTGTGTGACATATGTGCATACATAAACACATACATACTCATATGTGAAAACTGTACACATAAGAACAGAAGCATGCATAAATGGGCACATGCCCAAACATGCAGACACACTTGCACACATATGCACAAACCACATGCATGTGCAAGTGTGAAAATATGCCCGTGCACACAAATAGTCACACATGCAGGTATATGCACGTGTGTGGTGTACCCATACACATGTGTGCTCACACAAGCATGGGTACACATGCACAGATGGGCACACACCTTCACACAAAGCTGCACGAACATGGATGCACATAGCTGAAATGGTTACATCAGCCACACACATGGCATGTGCACATGCATCTACACACAACAGCATGCTCACGCGCAAGCCACACACTCTCATACCCACACCCACATGTGCACATGAGCACACAGCTGCGTCGTCCACGTCCCTTGTGGAAGAGCTAGTGCAGGTTCTCTTTTTCCAGACCTGGGCAGGACAGGGTCCTCCTTGGCAGGAGAGGAGGACCCTGACTCTTGGTGGAAAGCTGCTGTTCGGCCAGCTGCAGGCAAGGGAGGCTGGGATGGGCCCCGAGCCCCTGCACGCTCCCCCGCCCCGCCGGATGACAGCTCTGGGCTGATTGTTTGGCTTGGCACCATGATCAGGATGCTGCCTCGTAAACTTAATAATAGCTGCCCCCCTTTTAATTTGTTTGACCTTGACGACAATAATTTATTATATGCGTTGGAGCGCCGTCATCTTTTTTCCTCCTAATTCATAAACAAAGCACTTGGCCTGACTTCTTTCTCCACTCCCAAGCAAGTGTGGGGCCACCTCCAGCCTGTGAGGGCAGCCTGAGGTTTGAGGAGGAGCCCTAGGGTTGCTCTAAATTTCCTGAGGCAGAGCAGGGGTCCTTCAACACTGTCCTGGGTGTGTCCCCTAATCTCCGCATCCCAGGGCAGCCACTTCTAGTCCAAAATGGGGACTAAAAGGAAGCTGATCAGGCCCCAGGGGACAGTGGTGATGGGTCTGGGGCTCCCAAGCCCGTTGAAGGTCTGGGCAAAGCTCAGGCTCACCTGCCCACCTCCTGCCCTCTCTCTTACAGAGGAGCCCACGTTCCGCTGTGACGAGTGTGACGAGCTCTTCCAGTCCAAGCTGGACCTGCGGCGACACAAGAAGTACGCATGTGGCTCAGTGGGGGCCGCACTGTACGAGGGCCTGGCTGACGAGCTCAAGCCTGAGGGTCTCAGCAGCGGGGGCAGCGGGCAGACCCACGAATGCAAGGACTGCGAGCGGATGTTCCCCAACAAGTACAGGTGCTGCCCCCCAGTCCTTTCCAACCCCTTAATTTTTACTCTCTTCCTCCCCCACCACTCTGGGGGGGCTGAGCTTAGCCCCACCCACCCTGACAGTGGGGGCCCCAGGCACAGGTGGCAATAAAGGGTCTCTCCAGTTCAACACACTAAGGCCGTGCACTCCGGCCCACTCACTGCACACAGCTGGCACTGGGGAGCATAGCAGGTGCACCAGCCGCAGTTGGTCCCTGGTTCCTATCGCAAAGGGCCTGACCCACAGGAGAATCTGCAAGTAGCTGGCTGGGGTGCCACCGGTCCTGCATCGCACAGCATCGGGGCTGAGCTGTTGGAGACAGACAGGAGCAAAGTAAAGAATGCAGGCCCTGAGATACGTGGTGCCCAGCCAGGGCTACCAGTCCGGGGTGGTGACAGCAGCGACCCACTGCTGAGAACATGTGGGATGCCCCACCCACTGAACACATGCAGAATTTCTCCTCAAATATGGGAAGAGGCTACCCGAGAGTCCCTTTACCCCCCAGACACTGGTCTCTGCTGCCCACAGGGTGACAGCTGTCTGCCCCGAGAAGGACTTCAAGGAGTGCCAGGGCAGCTGTGTGTCAGCTGCACACAGTCAGCCTGCAATAAGCTCAAGCTGGCCCTCATCTGCCCTCAGGCCAGGCTGGAATCAGGACTGGGAATGGGGCAGTGGGAGTCTAGGGGTCTAGGGGATCCATGCAAGCCTCTAGAAAGGTGAGCTTCCTGGGCTCTGTGGGGGAAAACCTGAACACTCAGCCCCCATGCTCCAGGGAGCCATGGGAACTTGGCCAACCTGAATCCCTCCTTCTGCCTTTGAGAATTCCCTCTGACAGGCCTGCCACATCAGAGCCAATGCCATCAGGCCACTAACCGGCTATGTGATTGCTGGGACTCACCGCCCATCCCATCACAGCCTCCCTGGAGACAGTAAACCCTCCACCCTGAACAGATGACTGGGAAAATGAGGCCTTTCTCAGTGGCGCTGCTCAAGAGGGTCCGTGTTTTCTTTACATAAACACATAAATCACAATTAACAACAGGGAAAAAGATACAATCTCCTGATGCTCAAGAACCAGGCGTTTCTGATCTAAATGGATGGCTGGCCCCGTAATTAACGGGCCGTGCTACATTGCTGCTTTACTCATGAAGATTAACGGTCGTCCCGGGACAGGAGGAGAAGCAGGGGTCCCCCGAGAGGAGGGGTGAGGAGATGCTGTTCATCCGAGTGGAGCAGCCCCTTCCTCACAGCTGTTTTCCCACCTTACCACATTTGGAGACCTGCTCCTTCACTCCCAGCCATGTTTCCCCCAAGACGTGTCCCTGGCTCGGCTGGTGGACACCCGGAGGCCCCTCCCAGGGGCAGCTGTGGGTGCCTGGGCCTTACCCCACTCTGGGGCTCATGATAGTGTTGAAGTTTCTGGGCCCCTTCTTTTATTATGCCCAAGCTCATCCTCAAGGTTAGGCTCATCCTGGAGGGAAGGCAGGAAGTGCAGGCTGGAGTCCTAACCTGTCTCCAACTGCCTGGGGAGTGGTCATGGGTGAGGGATTGCACTCTACCCAGGCACTCCCCCCCCACCCGATGTGGGAGGCCACCTCTGCTATCTCTGTACCCATTGGTCAATTCAGAGAGGAGGTGAGCAGGGACACTGCAACATGCTCTGAGCCCCCAGCAGCCCGGTGGGGGCCCCGAGGGGCTACTGAGAACAAGGGGCCCCACAGTGACCCCATCCCCTGTCACAGCCTGGAGCAGCACATGATCATCCACACAGAGGAACGCGAGTACAAGTGTGACCAGTGCCCCAAGGCCTTCAACTGGAAGTCCAACCTCATCCGCCACCAGATGTCCCATGACAGCGGCAAGCGCTTCGAATGTGAAAACTGTGTGAAGGTAACGTGCACAGACACCCTGCCCAGGGAAGCCCAGGCTCGGCCAGGTGCAATGGGAGGCTGCAGATGGGTGCTGGGTCCCTCCCTCCCTTGCCCCTTACTGTAAAGACTGGATAAAGTGGGGGCCAGCAGATGGCATGATAATTAAGGCACTGGACTCCCACATGGCTGACCAAGGTTTGAGTCCTAGACCTGGTGGCTTAAAAATTATACTAGGCACATGTGTGTCCATGCCCAAAAACCTGACAGGAGAGAGGAGGAGAAGGAATTATAGCATGGCCTTCTCCCTGGGGGGTATTTTCTCATTTCTTTCTCTGTCTCTCTCCAGTGAGTGCATGTGCCCTGTGAGGGGAAAAATATTTTTTTAAAAAAATGGATAAAGTGTGACAGAGCAGGTTAGATGCCTCTGAGGTCACTCGGATCCTTCTATTGGGAGGAAAGGACGTCTCAGAGATCATTTCACGCAACTCAGGAAGAATAGAGTTGAGACTAGAGTCCCCCTCCAGGATGGGGCTCCTGTCCTCCTGCCAATGTGGAAGGAAATATTGAAGGGAGCTGAGCCTCCACACCTACCTCTAGGACCCCAGAGAGAACTCATCAGCTTATCAACTCTGTGTGCCTATGTCGTGAGCCACTGCCAGCATTCCCAGTGTTCCTCACGGCTGAGGAGGCTCCGTGGTTCTCCCAAGGCCATTCAGGGGGTCACTGCTAAAGCACAGACCTGTCCCAGCAGCCCAGTGCTGGCAGCAGAGCCACGAGAGACAGGCAGGGCCCAACCTTCGTGGCCCCCTGCCAGTAGCCAGACCAGGCCAACTGAAGGGCGCCCTAGTAGAGCACAGCCTATGGCCTCTGTCTCCCAGGTGTTCACCGACCCCAGCAACCTGCAGCGGCACATCCGCTCACAGCACGTGGGTGCCCGGGCCCACGCCTGCCCAGACTGTGGGAAGACCTTCGCCACGTCCTCTGGCCTCAAGCAGCACAAGCACATCCACAGCACAGTCAAGCCTTTCATATGTAAGTTGCCCCCAGCCTGGATTCCTGAGCACTGAGGGCAGGGTGGGGCTGGTGGAGGTGTGACGTGGCTCAGGCTCTCCCTCCCTTCGGAGGACCCTGTCTGTGCAGAATACACTCCTGACAGGTCCTGCTGTCCTGCCATGGGAAGCCTGGTCCCCCGCTGTCCTCCTGGTGTGCCTTCACGGCTTTGCTTGCTCATGCCCTCTGTATCTCTGGACTCCTCCCTCTCTTTCTTCCCATCCATGCCTCCTCCCTTTGTGTCTCCTTATGGTGGCTGCAGGTGGATAGTGGGTGATGGGAAGAGCTGTTTTAGCCATGCAGGGTCTTGTAGACGGAGCCAACAGCCCTACCTGCCTGGAAGCCCTTCTGGTCCCCTGGTTCACTCCCACCCTGGTTGAGCTCTATTAGGGCACCCTAGCTGGCACTCGCTGAGTGCAGTACCTTGTAGAGAAGCCTGGTGTGCCCAGCACTGTTCCAGATGGCCAGGGCCGTGTAAACCCAGGAGCACCATCCTCGTGGAGCTGGCTAGTGGGAGGAAGCAGAGAGTAGACTCAAGAAGCAAGATGGCCAACAAATCAGTCAGGGGACAGCAGTGCAAGGTTAGAGCCTCACAAGGCACCAGGCTGGTGGCCAGATGGGCATTGTTCCTACATACGTGATGACAGGCATCGAACAGAGGCACGAAGGAGAGTGAGCCCTGAGTGCCTGTGTAGGAAGTTCAGGACAGGGGAGTTGCCAGCATAGACACCTTGAGGCCAGGGCATGTGTGGAAAGCAAGTGAGGGCGAACAACAAAAAGGGGTCAGAGGTCACTAGGACCAGCTCCCAGGGGCCTGTGAAATACCACAGGGATTTTGACCCTGATCCTCGGTGCAATCAGAAGTCATGAAGTTTTTATTCACTGTGCATTGTGCTCAATTACTGTTTCACATTGTGCTGAGTCAGTTCACATTGTGCTGAGTCATCATTTCTCACACCAATTGTACTGAGCCATCATCCCCCTAAATTGTGCTGAGTCATTGTTTTGCATTGTGCTGAGTCCGGTTACATTATGCTGAGTCATGGTTTCTCACACACATTGTGCTGAGTCATGATTTCTCAAATTATACTGAGCCATTACTCCCAACACACATGGTGCTGAGTCATTGTTTCATACTGTTCTGAGTCTCCCTCTCCCTCACACACTGTTCTAAGTCATTGTTTTTGACACTCATATTATGCTAAGTCATCACTTCTCACACACACTTTGTGCTGAGCCATTGTTTCACGTGGTACTGCATCATCGGTCTCACAGGCATTGTGCTGAGTCATCATTCCCATGCAGTACGATGTGGCATCCTTATGAACGCCTCTGGAGTGCAGCCCTATCTCCACCCGGCACAAAAGGATACCAAGGCTGCAGGGGTGACTTCGAACCTCTCCAGCTCCATCATGTCAGTGTGGGATTCTGGGAGCTTGGGGCCTAAAGGTCATGATTTTCTCACTAGGGTGGGGCTACGTAGGGCTACCATCTGCCCCTTAAGAGGTGGTGCTGACAGCAAGCCAGGCCTTTGTCCTAGAGCTATGCCCCCTCCCACCCACAGCCCAACCCTGGTTCCAAGCCATCTTGCCTGATGACTCAGACCCCCACTTCAACTGTCTCTTGCTCTCCCAGCAGTGGAGACAAAGGCAGGAAAGACCTCTGCCTATTGGCCATGCCTTGGTTTTGTTTTTCTATTTACCAACCACCTCCTTCACCACAGGCCCTGGAAAGAGGGCATGTGAGAGATGGTACGGCAATGGGCATATGCCTATGGGCAGGGCCAGGATGAGGCTAAGCTGCCTGGCAGCGAGAGCAGGAGCTCTGACTTGGGGACTGGAGGAAGTGATCACCCTGCTATGTCCACGTGCACAGCCCAGTGGCTCCCCCCGTGAGCAGGGGCACGTGGAAGTGCATTAAATAATAGCTTGGCATTTTAAAGCAAGCTTAGAAACAAGAAAATTGTACCTAGGTTTAAATGGCATTGCCTTTCTGGACATGTAAACAAGCTTTGTCAAGTCCCATTGGATCATGTTAGTAACAGAAGTTCCAGGAACGACAGCACTCTGGACTGCCCAAGCCCACTGTTTCCACTGCACCAGCCCCTCCCCACTACGTGGCCGGGTCACCTGCCTGGCCTCAGTAGCTCTCATGCCTCTGGTCTGTGGCTCTGAGCTCACCTTTGTGCTGTGGCTTTTGGCCAAAGGGATGAAGCTAAAAAGAAAATCCCAAACATGGCCAGGTGGACTTTTTGAATGCTGCCTTCAGTTGGGGGGATACAAATTTAGAAATTAGATTAGACATGTAAAATGTAGCCTTGTGCGTCCTCCAGACCACAGCCTAGCATCCTTTGGTGCACTTTAAAAGAGTTATTGTCAGGCTTAGAAAGGAAAACTTCCAAACATGTGAAGAAGCCCAAAAATGGTAGCCTTTCAAAGAGTGATCGGTCCCTTGGGAGCCGGCCTGTGGTCAGGTTCCCAGCGGTACAGGTTCCCCATCGGGGCCATCAGCTCACACAGATGCGCACCAACCTGGCTAGAAGTCCCCAAGCCCTGCCTCTATTACCTCACAGATCAAAGTCATGTCTCTCCCAGCAGGAGCACTGCTATGTGTGTGTGTGTGTGTGTGTGTGTGTGTGTGTGTGTGTGTGTGTAAAAGAAGGAGAAAGGAAAGAAGGGAGGGTGAGAGAGAAAGAATACCTGAGCACAGAAACAAGCAGCCTTCTCATGGGCACTGTTCAGAAAAGGACCGTTACTGGAACAAGTGTGGATGTGTGGATGTGAAAGTGCGTGAGTGAGCATGGGCATGGAGCTGCTGTATGTATGAGTGTGTGTGTTGTGGGTGAGTGTGGGTGTGCACGCAATCACACACACATGATTTACAAGGAAAAGAAAGTGCTGACAAGCACCAGCCAGGGCCTGTCCTCACGCTGGCAGGGCCTGGGGGACACCCTCTGTCAGACTCTTGTCCCCACCTCCAGGTCAGTGTGGCTGTCTCAGCCTTTCTCTGCCTCCGAAGACAGTCACCTCCTTGCCAGCTCTGTGGCGACTGTCCACCCCGGCATCCCGTACTTGCCCCTACTAGAGACCTCAGTCTTCCCAGCCCTCTGTCAGCCCACCACAGGACCCCTCTGTCATGTGAACAGATGGATGGGAACCGAGGGCCCCTGGACAGAAGGCCTGATCAAGGTCACTGTCAAGCTCGGGGTGGCAGTAGCACTAACAAGAGCCCCGCCACTGACAGAGCCCTGCCAATGGCCAGAACCGTAGTGTCACTGCCGAAGCCATTGCTCATTAGGCCAGGGTGGTCTGGGCTGAGGACTGGCTGTGTTCCTCTCCAAAGGCGGTGCAGGTGGCCTGAGAGCTATTCGCAGACCATGCCTGGGGAGCGGCACTCTCCACCAGCAGCCTCCTCAAAAGGGCCGAGTTTTTCTTCAGCCTTGAAAATGCCCCACCATGCCAGACGACCAGGAAACCAGAGCGG